GGGAGGTAACAATCAAATAAGATGGAACAACAATCAAGGCAACCGGGGGTCGGACTTTCAAAGGCCTCCAATGTATCAACAACCGAACAACTCACCTCCTTATCCTTCCTGTGGTTTAAGTTCTTCAAACAACGAGATGGGGCATATTGAAAACATGTTCAAGCAAACGATGGAAAAGAATGCCGATTCGGATGCCCAACCTGCCTCACACAACACATTAATTCGCAACTCAGAAGTTCAAACAGGGCAAATCTCTCAAGCTCTAAATTCTCATCCTAAAGGGGCAGTACCAAGTGACACGGTAGTAAACCCAAAGTGTGAAAATAATACGGGGGCATTCCATGGCCATTACTACATAAAGTGGAAGAGGTGGGAATGCACCCACCTCAAGTCAAAGGCAACTTGTGGATGATGAGAAATTGGTGCAAGAAGAAGAGATCCCGAGAAATGAGGTGCAACCTAATGATGAAGTCCGAATTGATATTGATGATAGTGTGGAAGAGACTCAAGAGGAGGTAAACATGTCTAGGGATCATATTATTGACATACTGGAGCCAGCAGTGCAAACGATTAAGGAACCATTACCTAAGCCTCCACCTTTACCTCTATACACTCAAAGACGTGCTAAGCATAATGGTGAAAACCAATTCAAGAAGTTTATTCAAATGATGAAGAGTCTCTCAATCAATGTGCCATTAGTTGAAGCTTTGGAGAAAATGCCCGGTTATGTAAAGTTCATGAAGGATATCGTGACAAAGAAGTGGTCAATGAATTTTGAAACGATAAAAATCACTCATCAAGTGAGTGCAATTGTGCATTCAATGGCTTCTAAGTTGGAGGATCCCGGTGCTTTCACGATTCCTTGTACAATTGGAAGTGCCGAGTTTGCTAAAGCTCTTTGTGATCTTGGGGCAAGTATCAATTTGATGCCCTATTCAGTTTTCAAGACTCTGGGGATTGGGCAACCAAGACCCACCTCTATGAGATTGTAAATGGTCGATCGTACTATGAAGAGACCCTTGGGACTGATTGAAGATGTCTTGGTTCGTGTTGATAAATTCATTCTTCCGACGGATTTTGTCATTCTAGATTGTGAAGTTGATTATGAGGTGCCGATTATTCTTGGAATACCTTTCCTTGCTACGGAGAAGGCTCTTTGTGATGTTGAATCTGGAGAACTTACATTCCAGGTTGGTGATGAAAAAGTGGTTTTCCATGTGTGTAAGTCCATGTGGCAACCAAATAGCAATGAGGTGTGCTCTTTTGTGGACTTGGTGACCGATGTTATTGTTGAAGACACAAGTGCTACAATCAATGTTGGTGATATGTTGGAGGCGGTATTGCTCAACTTTGATGATGACGAGATGGATGGCTTTATGGAATGTGTGAACTCTTTGCAAGGAATGGGTTCATACAACTATGCACCCCGGAAATTGTCCTTGGATCCTGAAAATAGGACAACTCCTCCTACAAAGCCTTCTATTGAAGAGCCTCCTACCTTGGAGTTGAAGCCATTGCCACCACATCTTCGGTATGAATTTCTTGGCCCTTGTTCTACTTTACCAGTTATTCTTTCCTCTTGTTGGACTAACGTGCATGTAGATTCCATATTGGCGTTGCTACAAAAGAGGAAGAAGGCTATTGGGTGGACATTGGCGGATATTCGGGGGATAAGCCCCACCTTTTGCATGCATAATATCAAGTTGGAGAATGGAACCAAACCATCTATTGAACATCAAAAGACACTCAATGAGGCTATGCAATAAGTTGTCAAGAAGGATATTATCAAGTGGTTGGATGCCGGGGTTGTCTACGCCATCTCCGATAGTTCGTGGACTTCTCTGGTTCAATGTGTCCCAAAGAAAGGGGGCATGGTGGTGATCACCGATGACAAGAATGAGTTGATTTCTACAAGAACGGTGACCGGATGGAGGGTGTGTATAGACTATCGAAAGATCAACAAAGTCACAAGGAAGGATAACTTTCCACTTCTTTACTTAGATCAAATGCTCGATAGATTGGCCGGCCGTGATTTCTATTACTTTCTTGATGGGTATTCAGGGTACAACCAAATTTTTATTGCTTCGGAATATCAAGAGAAAATAACCTTTACATGTCCCTATGGTACTTTCGCCTTCAAGCGGATGTCATTTGGTTTGTGCAATGCGGACTTTTTAAAGGTGTATGATGGCTATCTTCACGGACATGGTGGAGGACTGCCTTGAAGTTTTTATGGACGACTTCTCGGTAGTTGGAGATTCTTTTGATGATTTTCTTGCAAATTTGGATAAAGTGTTGACTAAATGTGAAGAAACAAATTTGGTGCTTAATTGGGAGAAATGCCATTTCATGGTCGAGGAAGGCATTGTCCTTGGCCACAAAATCTCAAAGCATGGAATTGAAGTTGACAAGGCAAAAATTGAGGTGATTTCTAAGAAATTGAGTTTCTTAGGCCACGCGGGGTTTTACCGCTATTTCATCAAAGATTTCTCTAAGGTGGTGAACTCGTTGTGCAAGCTTCTTGAAAAAGACGCTAAGTTCAACTTCAATGATGATTTCATGAGGGCTTTTGAATTGTTGAAGTTCAAGTTGACAACTACTCCCATCATCACCGCTCCAAATTGGAGTGTCCCTTTTGAACTCATGTGTGATGCAAGTGACGTAGTGGTTGAAGCTGTTTTGGGGAAATGCATCAAAAAAAAAATTTCATCTGGTCTACTATGCTAGTAAGACTATAAATAGTGCCCAAGTCAACTATACTGTTACAGAGAAATAGCTCCTTGCCATTGTATTTGCAATTGAGAAGTTTCGCCCTTACTTGATGGGTGCAAAAGTCATTGTCCACACGGATCATGTGGCGCTTCGGTATCTTATGAGCAAGAAGGACTCCAAACCTCGGTTGATGAGATGGGTG